ACATGGAAAGGTTTCTTCACAGTGAGAGCTGTGAAAATGTGGAATAGACTCCCTCAAGAGTTGGTTCTGGCCAGCTCAGTGAATTGCTGTAGAAAAAGAACGGGATTCTTTCTTAGATACACAGAATATAACTGGTTACTATTTATAGGTAAAGTTGATCCAGAGAATATCCGATTGCCTCTTGGGGGATCAGGAAGAAATTTTTTTCCCAGCAGGAGCAAATTGGATCATGCTTTGCTGGTTTTTTTTGCCTTCCTCTGGATCAACTGTGGGTGTAGGATTATAACTTTTTTTTTTCTATGGTTGAACTGGATGGACTTTTGTCTTTTTTCAGCCCGACTAACTATGTAACTATGTAAAGCTGTAGATTTAAAAATACTTAAAATGACTTTTGAAATGACATCATATAGAAGATATTACTGATTGAGTTTAAGTCTAACATAGTCATTGTCAGACAGTGTTCCATGGAACTACAAACGTTGCAATAGAGGTTGCTAGGGGTTCCACGAGCTATGGCTGATTAACCTCTTGTTGGATGGTGCCAGCATAGTTCCAGGGTCAGTGGCACATGATAGATACAGCTGAGGGGCCAATGAACAGGCCCATGTATTGTAAAATCTATGATGACAACCTTCTTCCCTCAGCCAGAACACTGAAGATGGTTCATGGATGGGTCTTCCAGCATGACAATGATCCAAAACATACTGCAAAGGCAACAAAGAAGTGGCTCAAGAAGAAGCACATTATGGTCATGGAGTGGCCTAGCCAGTCTCCACACCTTAATCCTATAGCAATTTTATGGTGGGAGCTAAAACTTTGAGTTGCCAAGCAACAGCCAAGAAACCTTAAGGATTTAGAGAAGATCTGTAAAGAAGAGTGGACTGAAATCCTTTCCGAGATGTGTGAAAGCCTGGTAACCAACTACAAGAAACATCTTACCTCTGTGCTTTCCAACAAGGGTTTATCCACCAAGTACTAAGTGATGTTTTGCTTGGGGATCAAATACTTATTTTACTCACTGAACTGCAACTCAATTCATAACATTTGTATTATGTGTTTTTTTTATGGATTTTTGGTTGATATTCTCTCTGTCATTTAAAAGTCACCTATGATAAAAACTTTAGACCCTTCATTTTTTGTAAGTGGGCAAACATACAAAATCTGCAGGGGATCAGATAATTGTTTTCCCCACTGTATTAAGTTTTGGTTTCTATATCTATATTTCAAGTGGATTCGATATTCATATATAAAAACTATCTAATATTTTCATATGCAACAGAATAAATAATGCAAAATTCGTCAGTCCCAAATTTTTCAAACCTAAGAATTGCATTAGACTCTGGAACTGAACTGACTGTGACAATTACAAATTAAATGTGAATCACAAATGTACTTGAATCCAAATTATCAAACAAATACGAAAATTGATCTAATTTCCCCAACTACTATCGCATAACGTCATCCGTCAGTCATTAATTTCTTTATAACTTTTTTTGGATTAGTTGACATTTGTTTCTATGTCCATTTGGCGATACATATACATTAGAATATCAAAAAAATCTAATTTTCGTCCAAAAATCGATTCGTAATGGAACACACATGTCTAATCTAAAGTTCACAACCTATTCAATTGATATGCCACACACAAGTACTGTAGGTGAATTTTGACAGATAGTTAGGTTCGTAATTGAAGATTTTATGTTATCAAACATATCAAAGGTAATCTGATCATATTCATAAACAAAGTATTAGTGCTGTCATTGCAAAATCTGCAATAATATTCCACCCTGGAAGATCAAATCTCATCGTAACTGAGCCTATATCGATCAGAAGGGAAGCTATGGCAATTGGATTGCCCTAGGCAACACAAAAATTGGCTCCCTTCCACGGAGAGACCCTGACACCAACCAACACCCCCATCCCCCACGAAGAGAGCCTGACACTGACCAACAATTCTCAGCCCCCCCTACTCGATAGAGCCTTCCACTACCACTGCCCCCCATACACTGGCAACCTCCCCCCTGTCCCTGCGGGAGAGAAGACACTCACCTTTGCAGCTCTGGACTTCCCCAGGAACAAGAGTCAGGCTCTGCGTACACCATCAAGCAGCCCGCAACCTCTCTCAGATCTCACCTGGTCCCCATGCCACATGTGTCCTTTCTTCCGTCCCTTCTTTCGGGGGCGGCTCTACCCCCCTGAAAGATGCCGCTGCCCCCATGAAAAATGCTGCCCTAGGCAAATGCCTTGTTTGCCTTATGGTAAATACACCCCTGTGTATACCACTATTTGTAAATGCTATAACTTTCACATAAACCAATTAATTTACACATATTGGGATTTTTTTTTAGCAAAGACATGTAGCAGAATACATTTTACCCTAAATTTATGACAAAATTAGATTTTTTAAAATTTTTTATTGGACATGTATAATAGCAAAATGTCAAAAATATTGTTTTTTCTCAAAATTTACGTCCTTTTTTTTATAGCGCAAAAAATAAAAAAAAACACACAGGTGTTCAAATACCACCGATAGAAAGCTCTGTTTGTGGGAAAAAAGACTTAAATTTAATTTGGGTGCAGCCAGGGGTGTATTTACCACAAGGCATTTGCCTAGAGCGGCATTTTTCAGGGGGGCAGCAGCATTTTTCAGGGGGGCAACGCAGCTCCCCGAAACAAGAGATGGAAGAAAGGAAACACGCAGCATAGGGACCAGGGGGATCTGAGAGAGGCTGCAGGCTTCTTGATGGTGTATGCAGAGCCTGACTCTTGTTTCCAGGAGCTGTGAAGGTGAGTGTTTTCTCTCTCTCACCAGGGTGGGGGGGTTCCCGAGGGGTTTCCAGTGTATGGGGGGCAATGGTAGGGGAAGGCTCTCATGGGTGGGGGGGGAGGGATGAAGTGTTTTTGGTCAATGTCAGGCTCTCTTCATGGGGGAGGAGGATGTTGGTCAGTGTCAGGGTCTCTCCGTGGTGGTAGTGGTGGGGAGCCGATTTTTGTATTGCCTAGGGCAGCACGAAACCTAAATACACCACTGCGTGCAGTGTTGCATGACCGCGCAATTGTCAGTTAAAGTAACACAGCGCCATAACGTAAAAAATAGCCTGGTCAGGAAGAGGGGTAAATCCTCAGGAGGGCAAAAGGTAAGAAATTATTAATAAAATCATCCCTTTCAATCTCTCTAACCTGCTGGTTGCACTTTATTTACTTTATGTTTTCTTTTTAGAATCCTGGCGACCTTGCCGTTAATCACTCAACACTGTTGAAGGTAAGTGAAATAGAACTGCCACATTTTTCATAAATTAAGTAGTAAATTAGGAATGACTAGAGGAGAGAGACTATTTGAAAAGAGATATATTCAAGTGTTTTATTGAAGCCAGACATCTTTCCACACCATGTCAAAATCTCTTATATAATTAGGAGCTATGGATGAGGAAACAGAACAAATAATGGTAATGAATCAATTTCCAGTTGGGTAAACAGAGATTATTGGAGGCAAATTGGCTAATTGCTCACCTTCCAGCTGAATGAACATGAAGGGCTGGATGCCCGGTGCACGCCTGAGGTCACTGAGATGCCTATGGGAGCTTTAAGGTTTGTGCCTGCTAGGAATTATTGCTTCACATCCGCTGTCATCCTTTGCCATGCTGCATGTAATGCGCTTGCAAGCTGAAACGCTACGTAACTGACAAGAACATCACACATGCAGGGGGAACCTTGAGCTGATCCAGTTCATTGACTGCATTCTGTTATATGTTTAGGAAGACTGATGAGTACAGCTGAATGATGCCTGCTGAAATTGGGAGGTCTACAAGAATTGTAATAAAAAAAAAAAGTAAGTTGGTAGCTAAGACCGAGTATTTAAAGCTTTACCCAAGCTTTGCTATCACTTTTAATAGTTTGTAGCAGGGGCAGACTGACCATTTGGAAACTCGGGCACTGCCTGAGGGCCCAGGGTCAGTAGGGGGCCCCATGAGATGCATATATACTATAGGTAGTTATTAAGAGGTTGTTAATTAAATTATCGTGTCACCCAATGTTTGGTTTACATTCAGTAGCCAAAAAGGCATTCAAAAAAGGGGGGTTTGTGAAAAGAGATTCACAGAAAAGCGGCTACATTATGAACAGACCGTGGAGGCAGGAAGGGGGTAGAAGTGCCCTGTAGGCAGGAAGGGGGTAGAAGTGCGCTGCAGGCAGGATGGGGGTAGAAGTGTCCTGTAGGCAGGAAGGGGGTAGAAGTGCCCTGTAGGCAGGAAGGGGGTAGAAGTGCGCTGTGCAGGATGGGGGTAGGTGTCCTGTAGGCAGGGGGGGGTAGAAGTGCCCTGTAGAAGTGCCCTGTAGGCAGGAAGGGGGTAGAAGTGCAGGCAGAAGGGGGTAGAAGTGCCCTGTAGGCAGGAAGGGGGTATAGGTGTCCTGTAGGCAGGAAGGGGGTAGAAGTGCCCGGTAGGCAGGAAGGGGGTAGAAGTGCCCGGTAGGCAGGAAGGGGGTAGAAGTGCCCTGTAGGCAGGAAGGGGGTAGAAGTGCCCGGTAGGCAGGAAGGGGGTAGAAGTGCCCGGTAGGCAGGAAGGGGGTATAGGTGTCCTGTAGGCGAGGGGTTAATAACACAACATTACCACCTTGAGGTTTCTTGAATTTCGATTCTATACTTGTATATATGGAGAGGCTGCACCAGCTACTTCCTGAGATGACAGCAGACACTTAAATTGCCACATAACAAAGTGCTGGGAGGATTCCATGAAGGAAAAATGAAGGCTTTGTTAACTAGTAGCCGACCGCAGATAGCCGAATGACGGCTTCACTGCGGCCGGCCAGTTCTGGGTGGACGTCATATGATGTCCCCCCAGAACGCGCTCTCCTGCGCGCCCCAGGGGGCGCGCACCCGGCGATCTCCGTGATCGCTGTGTCCTACGGACACAGCTGATCACGTGATGTGGTAAAAGGCCGATCCCAGCGGCCTTTTACCACGTGATCAGCGGTGTCCAATGACACGCTGATCACAGGGAAATGCAAGTGCCGGTTCTCGGCTGCACTTTCCTCACGCTGTCAGATCGTGAGGAAAGTACTGCCGAGAACCGGCAGTTGTCAGAGCGGGGATCGGCACCGATCATCAGGACACTGATGATCAGTGCCCTGATGATCGGTGCCCAGCAGTGCCACCCGCAAGTTCCGCCCACCTGTGCCCAGCAGTGCGCCCACTAGCTCCGCCCACCTGTGCCCAGCAGATCACCCACCTGTGCCCAGCAGTGCACCCACCTGTGCCCAGCAGTGCACCCACCTGTGTCACTCTGCAGTGTCACACACCTGTGCCCAGAAGTGCCACCTACCTGTGCCCAGAAGTGCCACCCACCTGTGCCCACCC